GAGAGAATTTCTGTCCTTGTTGTTGTTTATATTTTTCCAGTTAAGAAGAAATCAAAGGCCCAGAATATTCAGGTGGGGAACCTGCCTTCCCGGAAGGTGAAGGCTCCCCCAAAGACTAGAACAGCTGGCATGAGACACGCCCTGAGGAAGGAACCCATCAGGGAGGGAAGGAACAGGAGGGCAGTTGGACAGAGACTTAGAAGAGCATCTTCAATAGAGACAGGGCAAGAGCCCTGACGGCCGGCCAGCTGACTTAGGGGCCAGGAAAAAGGCATGTTCTGGGTGGGACAGTGAAGCAGGTGGAGGACAGCCCAGCTTGGGAACACGCAGTGTGGCTGGAGAGATAAGTGGAAGTGTGTTGCAAGCAGTCAAGGAGGTAGGTAGGGTCAGGCTCAAAGGTCAGAACAAAGTCATTCCAAGTCCTACCCCATTGTGCGGGGGAGGGGGGAGAACTAAATTTCCATTTCCTCTAGCCTTCCTTTTTTATGCCTCTTCCTACTTGACCCCTCACCACATACAACTGCATCCCCCTTATCCCTCTGTAACCAGGAATTTGGGGAAAAGGGACTATCAAATTCTTGAAATCCATGGGAATGACTCCCGAAAAACTATTGTGTTAAGCTTTCATTCACATGCCCAGAACGAAGAGTCTGAGTATCCTAGCAGCCTAGAACTGATTGGGCAATTCACCATCAAGCAGTTTATGATTTGGGGTGTGGGGAGGGCTCTCCTGAGCACCCACAGGACGGTGGCCTGCTCCCCACACTCTCCAGCTCATCTGCAGCTCAGTGGCTCAGACCTGTACCACTCAGGGTATAGGAAGGGCTGGTGTTGGGGTGACCTGGCTCCTGGACACGGATCTCCCCCTGTAGCTGCTGTAGGAAATCGGTTGGTGATCACAGCAGGAGAGACAAAAGACTACAAATGAAGAATCCAGCTGCAAATCTGTGGGCTGGTGGGCCTGGGGAAGCGGCTCCGTGGCCAAGAGTACACGTTGTGCTTGCAGAGGACTTGGGTCTGGCTCCCAGCACCCACATCAGGCAGATCACAACTGTCAAATCTAGTTCCAGGAGACCTGACATTTCTGGTCTCCACAGGTGCCAGTACTCATGTGCACACGCACACACACACACACACACACATAATTAAAAATAACATAATTTTTTAATTTTTATTTTTCAAGACAGGGTTTCTCTGTGTAGCCCTGGCTATACTGGAACTCACTTTGTAGACCAGGCTGGCCTTAAACTGAGAGATCTGCCTGCCTCTGCCTCCCAAGTGCTGGGATTAAAGGCATGCACCACTCTCACCCTGCTTTTATTTTTTATTTTTGAGTTGTAGGCTGATAAACAGAAAATATGTGTTCACAGTTTCAATCACTGCATTTCAGAGCCAAGTTTTATTTTCAGATGTATTTGTTTTATGTGTGTGGATGTTTGCCCACATATCTGCGTGTGCACCACATGTGTCCCTGGTGCCTATGGAGGTTAGAAGAGGGCATCAGACTCCCTGGCATTGGAGTTACAGATGGTTGTAAGCCATGTGAGTACCAGGAATTAAACCAGGTCCTCTGAAAGAGCAACAAGAGCTCAAAAACACTGAGCCATCTCTCTGTCCCTAGAGCCAAGTTTCTTCGGTAAGCACAATTCAAATCTGGGCAATATTGAAAAATTGAGGCCCTCTCCTTGCCTCTTCCCCAATTTAGATTACCCAAAAGTACTTTCAAAGATTCTGGGGTCCAAATACACCGAGACACAGATAATACCTGTGTGATGACGTGTGCGTACAGCTTGGATTGGTGAGTGTGCTTTGCAAAAGGTTTGTATCTGACCTCCTTCGTGGGAGCCTCATGATACATTTGTGACAGGCAAACTGGACACACCTGTCCCTGAAGTGGACTGGTGCAGGCAGAGCTTTTAGAAAGGACTCCCTGAGCCAGGCGTGGTGGCGCATACCTGCGATCCCAGCACTCCGAGGCAGAGGCAGGCAGGTCTCTGTGAGTTTGAGGCCAGCCTGGTCTACAAAGTGAGTCCAGGATAGCCAGGGCTACACAGAGAAACCCTGTCTCAGAAAAAAAGAAAGAAAAGACTCCCTGAAGGCCACAGCCAAGCTATGACATACGCAGGCTCACAGTCCAGGTTTCCTAGCCCCATATTTTTCTCTGCTCTACCCTGAGAACAACAACCGCCCTGTGGCCACCTACTCTGTGCCTACCGTGTCCACCTGTAAGTCCCTTCGATCCTCCACCACTCTTCAAGGGAATCAGGATTTGGCCAACAAACCCTATAAGAACTTGAACTCGGAGAGTTTTCAAGGCCATCTCCCACGACGGCTGCGTTCTATTTAGTTTTGCCTCTTCCAGTTCAAATCCACTCATTTTCTATTGGGTACCTGGTAAACACAAGTGCCAATCAGCTAAGCAACCTGCTAGCCTAAACTGGTTCACGGGGCAGGGCGTGGCAGGCAGCCAGCGCTGTGTAGTCTTGCTTCTCTACCAGGCATTAATACATGAAGACTGCTCACAAATCACAAAGGAGCTTACAACAAAAGACACACCCACACCCACTCATAGCTCTGGAGCCAGAAGTCGAAGTCCAGGGTGCTAGCAGACTCCAGGGGGAAAACTCTTCCTCTAATAGGGGTCTCCCCCGCACACACACACCAGGCTCCACAGAGCACTTCCTTGGCCCTCCAGCATCTAGCCCCTCTCAGCATCTCTGACTTGGGGCAGCCTGACTTTCACATCTGTGTGCACTTGGCTTTCCACACCTCACTTTTAAAAGGATACTCGTGGGCAAATATGATGTATGTGCCTTTAATCCCAGCACTTGGGAAGCAGAGGCAGGAGGATCACTGGGAGTTCCTGCTCAGCCAGGGCTGCTTGGAAAGATCTGTCCCTCAAAAATACCAATAATAAAAAAGAACTCCGGCACTCCAGGAAGTGGATGAATCAGCAGAGCGCTTGCTTGTCTCACACGAGTGCACAGAGCCCTGGGTTCAGGCTCCAGCAGAGCCTAAAACCAGGCCTGCTGTGGTCCTATCACTGGAGAGGTGGGGGCAGGAGGATCAGAAGCTGAAGGTCATCATCAGCTATCTAGCAAATGTGAGAACAGCCTGGGCTACCTATGAGGAACTGGGGTTTAAGGCCAAAATTGGGGAGAGATGGGAAAGAATGAGTTGTCTGTCTTTAGATCCTTAGGTTTATTATATGTGTAAACATCCTTTCCAAATAAGATCATACACAGAGTTGGGAGCTGGACAAATCTTTCGTGGAAGACACCGTTCAACTTACTTCAAGGAAAATGCTAACTGAAGTCCACAGTCACTCTGCCCCTCAGGCCAGACCTTGGTGGGGCAGGCTGTGAGAGAGCAGCTTCCATCCCCTTGGGCCAGGGCTGAGAAACAGAGCCAGCATGCTGGCTCTCGGAGCAACCAGGATGAGAGTAGTGGTTTATGAGGGTCAGAGAGGCTGGAGAAAGAAAGCTCGGGGGCGGAGCTCCGGGCGTTGCTGTAACAGGGCTCGGATCGCATTCCTGAGCAACTCAGTTATCCTGAGAGGGCGGGACTGTGCCGACAGCCTCTGCCGCGGCCAGGCCACAGTGCCCTCCTGGGGCTAACCTCATTTGACCCAGAGCCATCCTCACTATCCCTTATCAGCCGAGGCTAGAAGGACTCGGGACTGTGGTCACGGTGCCCAGCCAGAGCCAGGCTCTGCATGAAGGCCTGGTTACTGGGGATGGGACAAAGAAGGGAAACGTCAAAGGTGCCCAGCCTTACGCACCCTGGGGTTTGTTCACATTCAACAGACCTATTATTGTTTCCAACAAGTAGAGAAAGGAGATGGGCGGACAGTGAGCAACTGCCTCAAAGGCCTGCGAAGTTAAACCTGCCGTAGCTCCGGGCTGGAATGGCATTCTCCACGGCCCCTGGAAGAGGCAGCTAATGCCGTGCTGCAGCAGCAGCTCCTCACCTCCAACCTGTTCTATGGCTTGCTGGGCTGTCTGGGGCTGGTCGCTCAACCTCCATTAACCTTAACCCTCTTCTCTGTAAACTTAGGATAACAATAGAATCCACACCACGGTGCTATTGTGAGGATTAAATCAAATAAGCCAAAGAGCGGACTGAATGCAGTTCCTGGTGTGTGGCAAATGCCGAACTAAATGCCATTAGTTCCCCGAGCCCACCGCATGGGAGGTGAGCCCAGGACGGTTAAGCTTCTGTGTCTGCTAGTTCAGGCTCTGCAACCTGGTTGTTTACTCAAACACCAGTCTAGATGCTCCTAGGGAAATTTCGTTGTTGTTTTGGAATTATATTTTTTTAGATGTGATTAACACTGAAATCGGTAGACTTTGAATAAAGTAGGTCGTTTTCCATAATGTGGGTGGGCCTCATCCAAGCAGTTAAAAGTCTCAAGAGAAAAAGACTATGGCTCTCTGAGGAAGAAGATATTCTTCCAGACCTCCAGACTGATGACTGTAACACCAACTGTTCTTCAAGGCTCCAACCCCCACAATCATGACAGCCTGTTCCTTAAAATAAACTGATATTTGATGAGAGATACATATGATGAAAGAGATGCTGGCAAGAGGTAGATTTCTAGATTTTGGTTGGTAGAAGATGGCTGGATAGATGATAGACAGACAGACAGAGCAGGCAAGCAGACAGTTTTAGGTGGGTGGTAAGTACAGACCTATCTGTGTATCTACTCACTCTACTAGTCCTGTTTCTCTGAATAACTCTAATACCACAAGATTTGTGGCGAGGAGCCACAAGGACAAACATCCCAGGCAAGAACGTAGGCTGTGCTGTGGGGGACGAGCGGGCTTGGGAAGCCACAGCACAGGGCACAAGAGGAAACATCTGGAAATGCCACAGGAAAGGCAGGTTGAGAGGAGGCTCAGAGGTCAAACGGAAACCTTCGGGAGATTGATGGCGGAGTCTAAGGGCCTGGAGAGTCCTTGACAAGGCACGTCACACAGACTCACCAGGCTGTATCAACTTCCAGCGTCGATCCAGGACAGTCGCAGAAGAGTGCTGAGGATGGAGAGGAAAACTACCTCCCTCCCAGAGCAAGGGATGTCACTCAGAAATGCAAGAGCCAGCCTCATTTCTGTCTGACAGTGCAGGTCCAAAGTCACGAGGCCGATACACCTGAGAGGCTGGGGAAGGCTGCAGGAGGAGCTGGGGCTGCTGAGGTTCTCCTCTGGAATCTGGGTGCGGCACCCAGCAGCAGGGATCTGGAATGTGCTGCGCTGCGGAGTGAATTCCTGGTGCAGTTTTGAGACTCAGGTAATTGCCTAGGTGAGCTGTGATGGTGGGCATCGTCCAGTGGCAGGTTCTGCCAGGCGGGGAGCTGGAGGTGGCTTTGTCCCAGAGCCTTGCTCTCAGCCTGGTGCCAAGTGAATGTCGCTCCCACAGAAACGGCAAGAGCAGGCTGGGTCAAAAAGCCTGGCTCTCGCAGGGCAGCTGAACAGATGCCACTGCCCGGCTCCATGAGGAAAAGGCCACCGCCTCTCTGGGGGCAAGGTAGACCAGGTCAGTCCTGGGGCTTCGTTCTCCCTCTTTCTGCAGAGCTGGTCTCCAGCTTGTAATCCTCTTGTCCCAGTGCCCTGCATGGTAGGAGTACAGGCACACACACCTCTGTCCCTGGCTTTACGCCTGCCCCTGCTGTCACGTCCTGTCTCTGCATCATGTTTCTTCTATTATTTAAACACCCAGATAGGACAAGGACAGAAAGCCCCAGCCTAGATGCTTTAGAATGTCATGGCCAGTGTTCCGTTTCCATTAGCATGGAGGCCTGATGATGCCGAAAAGTCTTCCTGTTTAAAGAAAAAGAGGAGTCACTGTGGCGAGAGACATACAACACAAAATTTACCGTCTTAGCCGTCGGTAAGTGGTGTGCAGTTCTGCGGCATGGAATATATTCACATCGTTGTACAACTGCAGCCTACCATTCACCTCCAAACTTCGCCTCTCAAACGGACTCTCACAAAACAGGAGCGTGCCCAAGTCCCTGGCAATATCTGTTCTGTTCTCTCTCGCCTTTAAAAAGTCACTGTTATTACTTTTAACTACATGTGCACCTGTGTGTCTGTAAGGCTTGTGCATGGGGCGCAGTGCCTACAGAGGCCGAGTGGTTTGGATCCTCTGTAGCTGGACTGCTACAGGTGGCTTTCAGCCAGCTGATGTGGGTGCTGGGAACTGACCTTGGGTCCTCTGTAGAAGCAGTACCTGCCGTTAATGCTAAGCCATCTCTCCAGCCTCTTTCTAAGCCGTGTGTGTGTTTGTGTGTATGTGTGTTCACATTCAAGCAGATGAACGTATGCTTCCTCTCCTCTTTGCCCATTGAGGAAGGCTCTCTGCATCTAACTAGTGAGCTTGCTGAGAGCATCTCCTGCCTCTGCATCCTGAGTGTCGGGGTCACAGGAGGACCACCTGACTTTTCCGTGGATTCCAGGAAGCTCAACTCTGGCCCTCAAATCTTTCAGAGAAGGAGCTTCGCCCTTTGAGCCATCTCCCCAGCCCAGTCTCTGTCCTTTTTATTCATAAATGTGACCCTTCTAGAAAAACCCCACAAGTGAATAACGCAGTAATGACGAATATCTGGATGGTTCCACTTAGCACAGCGTCTCCAGTGTGTCCGTGTCGCTGCGTGGTCTTTGTTTCAGTTCGTTTTGTTTGGGGTTTTGAGATAGGATCTCTTTGTTGTTACCCAAGCTAGTCTCAGATTCCTGAATGCCAGGATAGTGATCCTCCAGCCCCAGTGCTGAGAAGAAAGCAAAGCTTCGTCCCCTTTGGAGGCTGAAGTATGTTGAAGTGTATTCGTATAACCTGCCACACTCTGGTCCCTCGTCTGTGCCTTCACTGAGCGCCCCCACTTTTGCACAGTGTGATCACGTGACTATGACTATGCACATGCAAATGGCTGCTTTCTCTTCACAGTTCCTGTAAGTAATTTTTCCCATATAAATGCTTCTACATTCTCTCATAATAGTCACAGTCTCTCTCCATTGTGCAACGTCCGCCTCCATCTGCCTGTGGCCACATGCAGACATGACCGGTAACCATCATGATTGCCCCTGTGAAGTCCTGCTTGGTTTCTCCACAGAGTTTCCCAGCACAGTACAAATAAAACCACTCGGGGTCACACGAGCCTTGACCCTGTCGGCACTGAGAAAGCATCCAAAGGCTTTTATATCAGCTCAAGACAAACCAGGTACACTTGCCTTGGACTGAACTCACCTGTCCCGAGCTCTTAGGTTGCCCTCCTTCTGACCCACTGGTCTTGCTGACTCTTTTCTTATGTCAAAGCCCCTGTGCTCAGACCTCACACACTGAGGCAGGGCTGTGCAGAACAACCCCTTCTTCCCTCCTTAGACGACCACATTGTTTATTAATGTTTTCCCTTCCTCTTTGTAAGTCATCTTGTCAAGGACTAGCTGGTCCTCTCAAATAACCAACCATACTTGTTAGGACCGAGTTAGAGGACTACAAGGCTCAGCTCAGAGTGGGTGACCCACGGGTCAGGGAGCCAAGTTCCTTAGGTCTCCTTGCGTTTTCTTTGCCCAAGAAGGAAAAGCCAAGGTACAAGGTACAAAGTTCAGCCTTTTATCCAAGATAACCGCAGGGTTCCAGCCAGGATTCCAGGTGGGGAGGAGGAAGAGGGAGGACAGGAGAGGCCTGACCTCTGCCATTACATCTCCTGAGAACCACACACCACCTCTGCCCTGAGCCATTGGTGAGAAAGGGCTCAGGTGGCCACACGTCAGCTTCCAAGGGACTCAAGGAAACGCCGGCTTCTTGTTTTCTTGTCTTCATGCTGTAGCTGTCCTGTTTTCATTTTCCACCTGCTACAAACCATGCAGTGCTTTTATTTATTTGCTTACCTTGGCTTCTTTCAAAGAAAAACACTTAAACCTTTTTTCCCTTGTTCTCAGCAGTTTGGTTTCAGTGTTTCCTGGTGTGCCTTCTCTCCTTCTTTGACGTGTGTGACTTCGATTGACACTCAGCAGTTAGCTCTTATCCACACTGACTACAGGCTTTTGTTTGTGCTGACTAACCAGGACATAGGTAACCAAGTTACAGAGCTTGTTCGGCGAGCCCTCACTCTTATTACATGTTCTAGACAAACATACATGGGTAAGATATGAAATGTGCACATCTGGAGTCCCATGTCCTTACTGCAAGTTTCCAGATTTCTCTGAGGGCCCCGGGGGTCGTGCTGCTTGAAGCGACTCCACGGATGCTCCTGTGACTGTTGATGATGCTGGAGACGGCAGAAGGGCCCTTCTTTTCTTGCCACCCCTCTTGTGGGAGCCATTCTGCAGGCCTGTTTCCTCGCATTTGAGGTTCTTGAGTGTCTTGGGTCTGTAAGTTTAGTGCTTTCACCAAATTTGGAAACATTTAGCAATTTTAGTCTCTTTAAATACATTTCTGCCTTGGCATTCCTCTTCTTCTCAGAGTTTGTTTTGTTTTCATTCTCCTTCCTTGGCCTTCTGAGTGCTGGGATTACAAGAGAGTAACAGCACACCCACCTGTGTTCTCAGACTCCAATCTGCTGACATACACACTTGTTCTGCTTGATGCCCACAAGTCAGAGAAGTTAGGACTTTCTCTTCTCTACCATGAAGCTCTCCATTACTGTTTTCAAGTTCGCTGATGTACTCTGTGGTGTCTCTTGACTGTTAATCCTATCTGGTGAATTATTTTGCTTATTTAATTTGTTTTCGACATTTGGTTACTCATTTGCACGTGGGTGTCGCCGTGCATGTGTGAAGAGCTTGCAGGAGTCCGCTCTCTCCTTCCACCATGTGGGTTTTGGGGACAGAACTCAGGTTGTTGAGTTTTGTGGCAGCATTTTTATCTGCTTGGGTTTTCTTTTTTGTTGCTGTTTGGGGACCAGGTTCTACTTACTGCGTAGTCCTGGCTGGCCTGGAATGTTCTGTATAGACCAAGCTGACCTCTTACTGGCAACGGTCCTCCTGCCTTTTTTCCTGTGCTGGAATTACAGGCATGCACCACTTGGCTTGGTTATTTTTTTGAATATCCTCCACTTTCTCCTCAAATGTGAATGATTTCTTTTACATCTTTGAACACATTCAAGGGGTGGTTTACAGTCCTTGTCCTCGATGACGCTGCCTGTTATCTGAGTCTGTGACCGTTGGCTGGTTTGCTTCTGACTGTGGATTACATTTTGCTGCTTGTTTTGCTGACCAGAACATTTTATTATAATGTCTACTTTGTTGAATGTTATCCCTCATGTTAATTTTTTCATGTTAATTTTTAAGAGCATTAAAAATTGTTTGACAGGAGGCAGGATACTTGCAGATACAGTTGACTCTTTCAAAGTATGTTCTTTTCTTTGTTTGTTTGGTTTTTTGTTTTTGTTTTATTTGAGACAGGGTTTCTCTATGTAGCCTTGGCTGTCCTGAACTCGTTTTGTAGGCCAGGCTGGCCTCTAACTCACAGATAACCGCCTGCCTCTGCCTCCTAAGTGCTGAGATTAAAGGTGTGGGCCTCTACAGCCAGTCTTGAAGTATGCTCTTAAGGTCCTCGGTAGCGTTACTCTAGAAATAACCTGGCTGCTGGGTTTACCTTTTGAAGTTTCTCCTGAATGTTATACATGTTCAAAAGAGATTTTCTACTCCCGTTGGGCAAAGTCAGATGTTTCCCAACCCTCTGCAAGCTCCAGGTGGTTCATGAATGATGTGGTTCATGGTTCTTCAGTTGTTCCTTGACCAGCCCCATAGACCTCCACTCTGTGTCTAAGAGGCTTAGGGTTCCGCAGCCATCTGCCATGTTCAGGCACTCTCCCTCAACACGCGGTCCTCCTCCCGAGACTCTGGCCTCTCTGGGTCCTGCCTGTGTTCCCAGAGCTCTGTGTATCTTCTGTGCTTAGCTTATATTCCCTCTCACGCCCAAATGGGATGTTCCAGAAATTCAAGGCTGTTGTCATATTAGAGATTTTACTAATGTGGAACTGGGCATATTCATGGTTCAACCCACAGCACCATGGGAGTGGGCGGGAGGTCAGCTAGTGTATTTAAACCTAGAACCACACTTGATCTCAGTACACAGATGCAGAAAAAATCTACAAATTTGACAACTATTGATAATAATTTCAAGTAACTAAGTAAGACTAGGGATTTCCTTAATCTATTTTTTAAGTGCCTTTCAAGAGAGCTAGTAAGACAACTCAGTCATTAACAACACTTGCTGCTCTTCCAGAGGATCCAAAATCCTCCCCCCCAACACACACATACATGTAATTTTTAAAGTACTGAGCAAACCAACACAGTGGTAAATTGCAAGAAAAGCAGCCCCTCAAATGAAAGGAATAGCACAAGACAGCCTGTCCTGCACTTTTCTGTTCAACATCATTTGAAGTCATGTAAGAAAAGCAAAAAGCAGAAGAGGAGTTGGAAAAGACAGAAACAAAACTGTTATTTATTTGCAAATTTACCAGAAGCACCTTACTATGTGTGAGACTTTGTTTTCTTTGGTTGGTTGGTTGGTTGGTTGGTTGGTTTTTTTGAGACAGGGTTTCTCTATGTAGCTTCGGCTGTCCTGGAACTCGCTCTGTAGAGCAGGCTGACCCAGAACTCAAGAGGAGAGGAGGTCAGAGGACAACTTTCCAGTTCTCTTTCCACCATGTGGGTTCTGGGGACTGAATTCAAGTCTCCAGGCTTGGAGGTGAACACCTGAACCTGCTGAGTCATCTCACTGGCCTGGGGCTTTGGTGCACAAGCTTGACCCCCTGGAGCTCCATCTCCAGAACTAACTTCACACATGTGCTGTCCTCACCCCAGGCACCCATAAGCACACACTTAAAATAATAGCAATTTTTAAACAGTAGAGTAGTGGTGCCCAGAGCCAGGGGTGGGAGGAAGAGGTTATGCTAAGATGCCTTCTTTGACACGATGAAACTACTCTAGAATCATATCACACACACCTTTGTGAATGTACCAAAAATAGTCACCGAGGTCAGGCCCAGTGCTGCATGCCTATTGTAGGTGGCAATTAATTTTAGGTTTATGTAAAGAGATATAATGTCACACTGCTCTGGAAACTGCCTTATCCTTTTAAACATGAGACAGTTTCACGGGGGGAAAATGTTGGTCATGCCTATGTAAAAAAGACACAAGAGGCTTAAAGATGGCAAAGTACATGCCAACCTAGTTTAGTCCTAAAAACTCAAAAATTATGTTCATATGCTTAAAAAAAAAAAACCTGTCCATCTCAGATCAAAAAGGGAAGTCAAAGATAACCAAAACCAATGTAAAAACCCAGGTACAAGATGCCTAGGATATACTTAAATGCTAAGGATAAGAGAGTTTATATGCTAATGCTAAGAGAGTTTATATAAAGTTCGGCTACAAAGGCATAACCGCCCACCCTTAAATGCCAAAGGTAAGAGGGAGTTTAAATAGTTTGGCTATAAAGGCATAACTGCCCATCCTGTATACATAAAGGACAAGCCAAAAAATAGCCACAAACAATGTAAAACCCAGGTACAAGATGCCTAGGATATGCTTAAATGCTAAAGGTAAGAGAGAGTTTAAATAAAGTTTGGCTATAAAGACATAACTGCCCATTCTATATAAACAAGGGGATAGGACAAGTAGCTACAACATATATAAAAATCTAGGGCTAAACCTCTAAACAGGTACAAGATACCTATGGTATGCTTATATTCTAAATTAAAAAGGAGTTTTTATAAAGTTTACTTAAAACATGTGTTTTCTATTGCTCAAGGCAACCAGCTTGTCTCTCTAATGGGAGGCTTCTCTAGGAAAATAGATAGCAGCTTGTCCTAATACAACAGGCATGCAAGAGCCCAAAAAGATATTTTAATCTATCCAAACTTGTTTTGATTTCAACATGATAATGACTGAATGTTCAATAATAATGGTAACTTATATTGCTGATCCCTTTACATGGAAACAATTCTGAAACTGACTGAGACATAAAAAATGTCTCCAGCCAGAACTTCAACAATACATGGCCAATAAATTCTTGGCTATAATATTCTCAAAAAATGTATTATGCTATTCTTTTAATTTGCATTGATAAAATTGGCTTATAGTTTAGTTTCATCCTGCACATCTCATACATTTATAATTTTAAAACTCTATAATGCTTGTGAGAAATTTTATCTTTGCAGAGCAAAAGAACTGGACACCAGAGATGCTGGATCAAACCTGACAGGATTCATCCTTCCAGCATGCTGAGACATTGACATCTGTTCCAGCATCTTGCATGTTCCAGCATTCTGCTTGCTCCTGCTCAACTGCTTCAATTGCTGTTTCTCATCAAAGCCTGCTCCCAAAAGAACTTTGAAGAAAGCTGCTAATCTTAATTGGTCCAGCATTTTAGACTGCTCCAAAGAGGACTTTTATTAAGCCTGAAATTTCTCAACATTCAAAGACTGGACCACAAATGTTATTGCTTGCTTAATTAACCAATTTTTCCCAATTTTCTTTGGGCCCCCTAATAGAATTTCTGCATGTCCAAAATGTCAGCTAGAAGAAATCCTTAAGAATGACAACCAGTTTTCCTTACAGGGGGTTTGGGTATGTTTTTGGTTATTTTCTATGGCTATGAATGTTTATTGTCATTGGGAGATGTTTATAAATTATTAATGATCTTATTCAGGGTGAAACAAGGAATATACAGGGATGTCTTATAGGAATAAGATGAAAGGTAGATTATTGAATCTACTCAACTTAGGGTTTTATTTGTTCTCAAATAAGGTTAATTTTAACTCTGGTATAGGATTTTGCATATTGATGCAAAAATAAGTGTTTTTGATACATTGGTATAAGCTCTAGTATATTGATACAATTTCAAGGTTACTTCCAATACTTTTAAACTGCTATCAAAAACTGGTTAGGATATTAAGTAATGCAAGTTAATTGCTAGTTACTCAACTCATAGTCATGTCAGACATTAGTCTAATTTATCACAGAAGTATACATCCTAGGTTTAACAGATAGATATGATTTTGTAGACAGATCGATTATATAAAGATAGGTAGTCTTCAAAAACTTCAGAGACCTACAAAATATGACATTAAAAATGTTTGTTTCTTTATTATTTTAAAGATTCTTTGACAATGAGACAAGTCATCTCCTGGCAGCACCCCGCCTACCTCAAAGAAGATGATGAGCATTGAAGAACCTCCATATGGAGATGGCTTCAAATGTGGCAAACATGCCACTCGGGTAAAGAAAATACCCTCGCTTCACAACAGACAAATTCTGCCTAAAATGGCCAAGCTTAAATGCAGGACAAGTCTACTGCCGAACTCTGCCAAGACAGGGTAAGGAAGTCCTAAATAGTTGCTGCTTCACATATGTCTGTCAAACATACTGAGCCAGAAGGCTGAAGATGATGCTCCAACGTTATAGAGAGTTATGGGTGACTGTTCAGGCAGCAAACTGTCTCTGTCAATTTTTATTTTTTGGAATCTTCTAACATGCACTTCCTATTTACTCTAATAACTAATTTTATTCCTTCTCAAGTCTCTGATGGGGTTGAAGACCAAATAGTTATAGTGCCACAATTAAGGTTAAGTTGTTTGGAAGTTAAATCCTTTCATGTAGGTAACACCAATAAGGATAAAAGTTAATTTAGGTATAGAACTTTAAACTTGTCAAGATAGATAGGATAAATCAGATACTTTCTCCTAAATTGCTAAATACACATGGACTGGACATTGCACATGTATATTTTACCTAACAGTTTCATAAGTTCATAATTATTATTGTATTGAAAGAAAAGGAGTCTTTTATTGGTCTTAAAGGGGGAAATGTTGGTATACTGTTCTTTCAGAATGTGTACACTTTACCCTTTTTCATTCAAATGCTGATTTCTCTCCCCCACTCTGTGGTTTCAATCCGGACATTGCATTGTGATACTTATTCTAAGCATCACCTGTCTCAACTTTGTGTAAACATGCCAAAATAAAACAACTAGCCACAATGTTGAGCAAGGGAAGTAGGAAGAGATGGAGGAGCCAGAGGACAGGAAAAGAGTGGGAGGCAAAAGGGAGAGGGAGAGCTGGGAGAACAGAGGCAGGAGCAGAGAGCTTGGAATAATGTGGAGAGATGGACTGGACCTAATACATCACTAAAAGCGAGTATAATGTGGGAAATCTAAATGTTAGGAAACTATGAGGGCTTGGGGGTTTAGGATGGAGTAACTATTACCCAGCATTGTGTTCTAAGTTAATTAAATAAATCCCAGTCTCTGTATGGTGATTTGGTTATACAGCTGCTTAGGATTAACAGCAGCTTTACTAAAAGATAAACCAATAGTAGATATTAATAGTCTCCTACAACACATTCCTATACCCCTTGCCTTATACAGAAAATGCCAGCAGGCTGGGAATATAGGACAGCGCTGCACTACAAAGTGAGTTTGAGGCTAGCCTGAACTACCTGAGACCCTACATTTAAAAAGTAAATAAATAAGTGATGATGACAAATAGTAAAACAAAAATTATCAAATTGTGCATTTTAAAATGGCATGTTTTGAGTTGGAATGTAGAATGCTAGGGTGTAAAGGGCCCTGGGTTCCATCCTAACACCCCAAAAGAAAAAAAAAAGAAGAAGAAAAAAAAAACAACAACAGACTGACAAATTAATCAGAACCCTCTCCAGACATCCATGTGAATCCAATAAACGACCTCCTTCCTTGAAGACACATCTGTGGAAATTTCCACCAGCAAAAAATCCTGGAAACGGTGCTCGAACTGCCTCTCTGGCCATGAGCCAGACATCTTCCTTCAGTGGCTATGCCAACATGGCTCATAAAAGGCAACAACAACAGAAAAGCCATTTCTGCACCCATTTCTCGTGAGAGCCAAAGTAAAGAAAATAGATCCGTCATTCCCTTCTCAGTTTTCTCCTCAGTTTAGTATCTGGGATGTCCAGGGTCACAAAGTCATCCTTGTGAATAAATACTGTAGCTTGTTGCTATACTCACAGGGAAGAACATGCTAAATATACTCTTGATGTTGATAGAAGATGCAACTGTTTTTATTTTTTTCCAAAGATATAAAAATGGATAGATCTGAAATCTTTGTGTGGCTCCTGGCATACAGTAAGTGTTCAGTAAGTGTCAGCTATTGTACCAGCTGAACTCAAAGGCGCTCCGTTACTTTCTAAGAGGACTGCTTGATCTGAATAAGTCTCTCTTGATTTGTGTCACACCCTCCAGTGTCCCCACAGAGCTATCAGTAGCCATGAGATCCAAACTGACTCAAGCTGAGGCACGGCTGTCTGTTGAGGCCTGAGGCGGGGCCGCCTCCCTTTTCCTCTTCCAACAGACTGAGCTAATCATTCTCGGGCTCTATTACATCAAATACACCAGCACTCGATGGCATCATGTTCTACTGACAAAAATGACCCTATTGCCTCCCAGACTGCTTCTCCGGGATGGAGGAGGATTTGTCTGCACTGAAGCAGTGTTGTCTCCTCAGCAACACAGCAAAGAGGGCCACCCAGACTTTGACACAGGGACCAAAGAAAGGCCCCGCCCAAATCCCCACCCTTACTGTCATCCTAGGGCCCATCCAGGTCTCCTGTCTGAACCCACACTCTCAGCAACACAGAGAGACCAGGCTGGGGAGAACTAGGGTACCAGACATACCTAGGATGATCCTTATCACTTCCCAGAAACAAACACCCTTGTTGAAAAGCAGAAAAGTAAAATCCATAAATATACAAGGCTTGGGCTGGCAAAATTGTTGAGTGGGTAACAGTGCTTGGTGGCATTATGTGATGACCTGAGTTCAGTCTCTGGGACCCACACAGTGGAAGGAAAACTGAGTCCCCCAGGTTATTTTCTGAGCTCTGGATATGCACACACTCGCACACACACACACACACACACACACACACACACACAAACACACAACCAACAATTAAATCTAATTTTAAATTGTAGAAACTTCTAATTGAGGCTTGTTCCTAAACCCTGGGAATTCTCCTGCTCTGCCCTGTCTGTGGAGCCCAGACCCAGGCATGGACCATATAGCTTTACTGCTACAGATAAGAAATAGAAATACAGATATAGGTATATCTCAGTTAAACATTTGACCAAAAAAAAAAAAAAAATCTGACTTAATCCCACAGCCTGAGAAGGGTTTGTATTATCTCTGTTTTACTGGAAGAAACTGAGGTCACTGATGCTCCTCTCAGGACACACAAAGCCCCACCTTGAGATGTAGCAAGCGTCCTACCACGGCTCAGATGGTCTAGACTTCACAGGGGCGACCCCGTTTCCTTGTAGGGCCCTCACCTCTTTCTTTGGAGGTCCTCCTGGTACAGCAGGTCCCAGATGAACACAGCCTCCCTCAGGTCTCCCCATGACGCTGGCCCGGGTGGACCCCATCAGCTCTTCTCTGTCTTCTACCTGAGTACAAGCTGCAGTCGCCTGATCAGGGTACCCAGCCAGGCCACTGTTCTTACCTAGACGTGGGAGCCGACAGGCGACTGCCTCTCTATCCCCTGCTCAACTCAGAAGCCTGATGGAGCCACAGCCAAAATGCTTATGAATAAATGAATAGACTCATAAATATCTTCCTATCCCACACATGTTGGTTCACATTATTACTTTTAAAAAAAAAACAGAATCTCATAATTTAAAAAATTTAGAGCACTCACTAGATTACGTAGACACATAACATTCTTACTCTAACAAAATATGCGTACGATAAAACTTACTGTTTGGGAGAGTAATTCGGATCATTTGGTGACGCGAAGTACATTTGCATTGCTGTACAGTGACCAGCATCGCCCTTCTCCATAGCATGTCCATTTCACTGAGGGGACTTAGGCGTTGACTTGGCGGGTAAAGAGCTTGCTATGCAGTCATGACAACCTGGGTTCAATCCCCAACATTTACATGAAAAGCCAGACATGGAGGAGCATGCCTGTAATTCCAGGGAAACGTAGGACGGGAGAACCTATGGAGCTCCCTGGCTGACCAGTCTAGTCAGTCAGTGAACTCGAGATTCAGGGAGAAACGTCTCATAAAACAAGGCGGAGAACAATTGAGGAAAATACCTGACATGATCTCTTGGACCACGATAGACTCTTTCTCCAGGTGTACCTAATGGTTCTAGGAGACAATTTAAAAAAGCGCAACCCATTCACATGAGCTCTTGTGAGCACATGCATGTACGTTACATGCACATACAGAGCAATGCATGCATGTACTACATGTACATGCTCATATATATACATACACATACCACACATATACCACAAACACACACTACACACAATCCACCCATATACACACGTGCCACATGCACACAAGCATGCACAAATATGCTGCACACACACAAACTCCATGTGCTTACAAAATAAATAAACAAACGTAATAAAAAATTAGAAATGAAGTATCAATGAACCCAGGCTGCAGGCGGGGCCTTGGACCCACTCTTCCTGTGGGAAAAAGGTAAAGGAGAGTCTGGCTTTCAGCATCAGTCTCAAAGGAGAGGCGGTCAGTGCACCAGCCTACCTGGCCCTGCTCTCCACCCTGAAAGGAGCTTTCTCCAGCCTACAGACCATTGCAGACTCTTTCTCCAGCTGGACCTAATGGTTCTAGAAGACAATAAAAAAACAAGGAAAAACAGGCAAGGACTAATGGGAGGAACTGCAAACACATCAAGCAGCGAGCAAACAAGTGACAGATGGAGAGCACGGCCCCTCCCCAGGCCGCCCTCTGGGGTAGCAGGATGTCCTCATACTGGATCTCTGGATCCTTGGGAGTTCTAGAAGGAAGCAAGACTTTCTTTCCATCACAGAAATTTGGTCCTTCCACACCCATCACCACCTGCTAGGTGGCCACCACTAAAGAGACCTTGGGCAAAATGAAAATCAAAATTTCCAGCAAGGGTGGGGCTCAGGGGACAGAGCCAGGAGGCAGCATTGACCGAACTCCCGCTGGAAGCCAGTCCTGCACCATCCGCCTCCAATATCTCACCCAACAATCTCAGTGATCTAGCTCAAGAGACATCATGGCCTCCTATTTGTAGTACAGAAACTGAGAGGAGTTAACCAGCCACCCAGGGTCACACTGCTATTTCATGTTGAGACTGGCAAACCAATTCAGGCTCAACAACCTCAAGGCTCTTTTCTTTACCCACAACGCTTCCTTCCTCATGATGGGAGTGACTCACCCCCACCCCTAGTCTCCTGCACTGCTCCCCACAAAGACCCCAGGCATGTGTCTTAAAGAGATGCATCGGAGGGCCTGGTGAAAAGCACAAGGAATGCACACTGCCCTCTACCACAAAAACCTTGCGAAGGCCCTCAGAAGGGACGTGTCCTTTCTGAGACCGTACGTGGGGAAGGAGCAAATGCCCGTGGCATCACCAGCTTGAACATGGGCAGAGCCTTGGACTGAACTGAAGAGCTCAGGCAGTTTTGCTAATTAATGATAGCTGAGTCATAAGAAAAAAGAAAAGTTGGCTCCGAGCTTATGCTGAGGGATGGGTGCCTCCTTGGAGTGCCTGAGTAGGCGGCCTGCAGCCCCCACTCTCTCCTCCAGCCCGGATGCCATCCCTTCTGGCACGTTCTCAGGGAGAAAGCTGCACAGAGCTGGGGGCCTAGCTCAGCTGGTTTAGGAGAGCTCAGTTTAGCCAAACAATCAGTGAGAGTGGGATAGGGTGGGATAAATACTGCTTGATCCTGTGAGCCAGCTCTGGTTTAGCGATGCCAACCCTTTGCCCCTGACCGGGAAAAGCTCTCTACATTATCAATGCTCTCACATTTTTAAGACCAGTGGTGGTGAGACATGCTTTTTTCTCAGTACTTGGGAGGCAGAGGCAGGCAGATCTCTATGAGTTCAAAGCCAACCTTGTCTATAAAGCTAGTCCAGGACAGCCAAGGCTACACAGAGAAACCATGTCTCAAAAAACCAAAGAAAGTTTCACTTCCCAAGCTGGGTGGTGGTTGTGACATATTTAATCCCAGCACTTGGGAGGCTGAGACAGATGGATCTCTGAGTTTGAGGCCAGCTTGGTCTACAAAATGAGTTCCAGGACAGCCAGGGCTACATAGAAAAACAAAACAAAACAAAACAAAAACAAACAAACAAACAAAAAAACACTTCAAAAAATGTCTTTCTTTGGAGTTTTCTCCTCTTGGAAGGGGGAGGCACATGAACTGGCCTTCGGTGAAGTGTCAGAACAGAACCAAATGGACCTTGAACTCCTTGTCTATGTGCCCTGTGAAGGAACCTCCGGAGGCTTTTGCTGGTACACTCGGCAAGGGCAGAGTTCTCAGGCAGGCAGGAGGCCTGTTCCGAGGTTGTACAGCTCTTGCAAACTCTTCACGCTGAGCCGAATCTTTTTCCTGAGGTTCCATCCTGTTCCTGTGTGACCTGAACAAGCACTCCTGTTGGGAGCGTCTTGCAAGGTCTGGAAGGTCACCTCCAGCTCTCCAGAGAAGCCCAGTTCTCTCAAGTGTTCTCGGGAACAATCCTGACAGCCCTTGTCTGGTTTAGGACGCCTCCAACAGGTTCAGTCCAAATTTCCAAGCACACCTCCGCCTGTGTGTGGCGGAAGCCTAAAAAGAATAGAACCCCGGGTTTCTGTTTGTACTCACAGAACCTACTAACTATGTAGAAAAAAAAAGATTCTAGCCTGGAGGGTGGAGGCCCCGGAGGCCCCAGGGGAGGCAGCAGACTCGTTGGCTCTGCACTCCCAGAATCAAGAGGCGGCCAGGCCCTTGGTTTGGCTCTGTACAGGGATGGCAAGGCTGCTGGGTTACTTGTGGAAAGAAGGAACAGATTAATCCAAACTACAGAACCAGCCTTCACAGGAGCCCTGAAAACGTCTGGGAGACCCTGAAGTGTTGCGGACCCATACCCCAGACCTCTGCCATCAGAGTGCCCACTCCCCTCCCTGGCTCTGCCCCTTCTCATCCATATTTTTGCTTCTCTTCCCCTGTCAAGCATGTGCTTGATTCCACTACATTTTCCAGTCTGGGACAGCAGGGTGATGGAGCCAGGACTCATAGAGGCCATTTAACTGATGCTGTTCTGGCAACAAGCCACAGAGACTC